AAATCAGGTTGACTATAAATGTAATTTCTTTCTAACAAGGAAAAGAGAATGTTATACTTAGGATAGGATGAAAGTGTAGATTATTGTTTAAAAATGTTTTACATTGCAATGGATTTTAGTTTATTAATATAAATTTAAAGTTAATTTTGTTATGCTATATGTATATTTGTACTCTTTGGAAGTATTTTGTTTGTGCAACTCATTTAAAGTTGTAATGTATCATTAAGAAATATATATTCATAGTTAATCATCTATGATAATCAAACTTGTAGTCATTTTAGTTAAGTTGTCTAGATATACATAGATATATTTCAATTATGTACGTAATCTTCAAACAGGTCAAAGACTAACAGAATATGGCATTTAAAATGTTTGAAGAACTTTGACTTTCTGGACATTGAGACATGACTGCTCCTGGCAGCACCAATCTACTTCCGAGAAGATAATGCACATTGAAAAACTCATTATGAAGTTTACTTTCTTTTCTGCAAAACTAGACACTGCACACAAAAAAATTGCCCTTGCCTTGACTGCTAGAAAATATGTTGTATAAAGTGGACATCCAGGACCCATAAAAAGTGACCACTGAACATTGCAAGATAAGATGGTTCTTCAGGTTTCTACTTAAGAGATGAGACTGTCAGACATTCTACAGGACACAGAGAGAAGCAACTGAGAGACACTAGGCTTATAGACTGAATAAGGATGCTCTAAAGTTGCAGGCAACTGTCCAGGTAGCCAGCTCTCTCTGTCTTTCTAGATTTTTGGAAGTTGCATACAATGTATTTCTTGCTTATTTAAGTAATATATCCTTCTGGGGTCTTTGATGTTGTTGAAGACTAGATAATTCTAATTATAATTTTCCTTGGATATGATAAAATCACATATGAAACCTTAGACTCACAAATATAGGACAGATTGAATATTTTCTTTAATTTTACAAAATACAAATAGACTAGATTTCATAACTGTAATTATTGCTTGATAACTCATTTGTTATTCATAATTTTAATATGTTAAAATTAAAATCTTCCTTTTGTTTAGACAGAATAGGGGAAATGTCATTCTGCATGCTGTGTATATGTGTTGCTTTGATTGGTTGATAAATAAATCCATTTGACCTATAACAAGGCAGCTTAGAGGCAGGCTGGAAATTAAAAGACAGAGACAGGAAGAAGGGCGAGTATAAATGCCAGTGGGCCAACCAAGGAGCAACATGTAATGGGGTGCACTTAAAGCCAAAGAACATGTGGAGACACACAAATTAATAGTTATGTATAAGTTATAAAAAATAGCTAGCAAAAAGTTTAATCTATGACCATGCAGTTATAATTAATATAAGCTTCTGTGTGTTTACTTGGGAGATGAAAGTGGGAGAGATGTGGCCCTACCGCCAGCAGGTCAGGACACAGGAAATATTTCACCTACAGCCTTGTTGGCATACACTTTGTAATTCATGTCCCCAAACAAATACCTTTTGAAACAACTTCCAAAGCAGAACTGCTATTTAATATTATCAGTATTTCTCACTGGCTAATTATCGGTGCACTCACTAGCATGCTTTTGGTTTTTTTTGGTTTTGAGAGAGAATCTGTTATATCCCAAGCTGACAAGAAATTCATTATGTAATTGAAAATCACATTGAATCCCTGGTATTTGGCTCTCCCTGTTTACTTTTGACGTTACATATGTGTGACACAACATTTCACTTGGCTTCTAGCTGTTCCTTTTATGCATGTATGCACTTGTGTTTATGACGATGTGTATGCAAATGTGAGAATATAGGTGTTCTTATGCTAAAGACAGATGATAATATCAGGTGTTGAACATTGATTTCTACCTTGTTTGAGACAATCTCCTTCTTCTTTTACATCCCTGTGTGTGGCAAATTGGCAGGTCCTAAGCTTGTAGGCAATCTTCTGTCGCCACCTCTCATGTCATAGAAGGTATACTAGGTTTAAAAAACAAGCTGCATCACCATGTTTAAATGGCTTTTGAGGATCCAAACTCAGGTATTGTGACATACAAGGCAATTGATTTCCATTGAGCTATCATATGAGCCAAGCTTTCAATCTCCTTAAGTGACTTAATTCTCTCATATATTACCCAATTGACTTTATCTCTACAGATTCTCTGTAGATCATTAATCACCACCAGGTTTCAATCAAATCTTAGATTCTCTGAATTCATGTATCCTTCTTCTCTGGCACTGGCTTATGTCTTACATTCTCTCCTGACTTGATTCAGTTGGTTCTTGAGATGATGGGGACCAATACAAGCCTGCAATGGTGGGTGAGGCATGAAGAGACAGCAAAATTAGACCAGGAACAGTTAGGACACTCTGACTATTGAAAACACATCAAAGTCATACTAGGAATGTAAATGAAGCAATTGGCTGAATGTGGGAGGCTAGGTCTTGAGCACTCTACCTGTCTATGTTTTGGTGTCTTTGGTCTTAAGGAATCACTATCCACAAGTTGTGGAAACTTAGAGGTAAAAGTGTGTGGAAAGAGATATCCCTCAGAAGGGGTTAATAGAGTTCTGCAGACATGATTGTAATAAAAAGTCCCAAGCTGGAAATGCTCAGAATCCTTTGGCTTCCTGTACCATTGTGATCACATTTTACCAACTCATGACTTTGTCACTGCTACTTGCCAACAGGATGTCTCCTCATGGCATCAGTAGTATATCTGTGAGGTGATGAGTTCACAAATGAACTGGATTTTATCTGCTTACTAACTGTGTTTGTGTGGCAAATGATATCATTGAAATGATGACCAGCCTTCAGAAGCTCAAGGATTGAAGGGGAAGCCATGGAGTCAATAAACTAATCACTTAACTTGACTTTTCTATCTGAGGGTGTAAAATTTAATTCGCTGGGTCCAGAGAGAGGAAAAGCTTTAACTCTCTGGGGCCAACAAAAAGAAGAAAACATGCACAAACATTTATATTTCTCCATCATTTTCTCTATGTTTCTCTTAAGACTTATATATCTGAACAAAATCTCTCAGGCAATATAAAACTTACAATGTGAATACATTCTATTTTTCAAGTACATTATTACAATGAATACAGTTAGAAAACATGATTTCCAATTTCCTTCAAATGATTAAACATCCTACACATTATGGATATAAAACAAATTACCCAAAGAACCCACATACATTCATATCCAAGCAACTTGGTATTGATTAACAGAATATAAGCAAGTAAGATATATTTCTCAGTCATTCTTTTACTGCCAGGCTAAATTTTGTGGTTACAAAGGAAGGATCGATGATTTTATTACTTATCTCAAATGGTAATCTTATAAACAATCATAAAAGAATCACAAACCTAAATTATTATATATGAAAAACAAACAGTATTCTGTCTTTTAAATTCTCAGATTGTGTTTTCATTCCTCAATAGCTTTTTTTTTGTATCAGGAAGCAGAGTGCATAAATGGGCATTAAATAATCACGGTCTTTGAATTAATTATCAGGATTTAAGGATTAAGGAATTAATCATCATCTTGGTTTGCCAAACCATCCTAACAAGTAAGACCATCCACAAATAATAACTAGGCTGCTTTGTTCTTGTTTCTTGACCTCAATGAGTCCCTCACTCAACTATGTGCCTTTTTAAACTTTAGATGGTTTCCCCAGGTTTTTCATCTCAAGGTTATTAACAAAAATATCTTATCCTACCTGTAAGTCACATTGAAAGCTTAGTTTTAGCTATGATGCACACTGAAGCCCATGTCACATCTCTCAAAATTAAGATTAAAAGAACTTGAGCTAGCTTAACTTTTGGGACACAATTGTGTTATTGTACATTTTTTACTCTTTTGGGTGGTTTACCATCCAGCTCCCAAATGTACCACACAAAGAGGCTTATTCTTACTTGTAAATACCTGGGCTTAGTATGACTTGTTTCGTGCTCACTTTCCTTAACTTAAATAATCTCATCTCCCTTTTGGCTCTGGGATTTTCACATTCTCTTACATCTGTAATCTTACTCTTCTTATTACTTCTTCTGGCACTGGCTGTGTATCTGGTTGGCTGACTCTGATGTCTTCCTATTTCTCTCTCATTCATTGATCTTTTTTACTCCCAGAATTCTTCCATATGCCCTCTGTCTGCCAGTGCTTTCTGTCCTTTCTCATGCCTCCCTATTGGCTTCAGATCTTTATTAAACTATCAGGTGTTTAGACAGGTACCATAACATAACATCCCAAAGTTAAACAAGTGCAACATAAAAAAGTAACATACTTTTAAAAATATTCTACAACATAATTGTTTTTCTTAATCATTAATCTAAACCACAATCCACATTGATCCTCAAAAGAAACTAGGTCTGTGAAATTTCCTTGTTCTTATTTTCTATCTTCTGCAGCCCATGCTTTATCATGGGCACAGGAAACACCTATCTTGCATTTGGCTTTATTAGTTTCCCTACTCAACAAAACTATCATAACCAATTACTCTATTTATTAAAGAACCCAAATCCTCAAAATGCTGTTTAAACCAACACCATTATTTTGTATAAAATCATTGCTCTAAACAGAATAGCTTAGGAAGAAATTATTTTTATAATAATCCACTAATTAAAATGCCCAGTAGAATGGGATATTTCCTGGAGATAGTCATAAAAAATTAAGGGAAGTGGGGATCTTCCTGCATGCATTCACACCTTGCTAGATGCCATAGGAAAATAGCAGTGGCATAAATGTTAAGGTACAACATAAGCAAAAGTCATTCTAGAGCCAAAGCCTTTGGGGCCTCATCTATCTGAGATTCACCCATTAGAACTTTCCTTCCTGGTGGACCAACCTACTGACCTTCAGTTGCCACCTACAGCTCCTCTGACATGGCTACATAAAATATCACATTAAATGCTTTAAATACTGATTCGGTTTTTCTTAGTAAAGTTGTCTACCATTTGTGGAAAGTGAATAATAAGAGGCAGACCTCAATTTTATTCTTTGTAATCAATAATTTCCTTCCCCTTTCATACAGTGCCATATGGATCATGGTTTGAGCACACCCGTAACTGGCTCTCTGTGAGAGAAAAGGACAACTTCCTGTTATTGAGCTATGAAGACATGAAAAAGGTAACTGTCATTCTTACAGCAATCACAAAATCCTTTAGCAATTCATCCCATACAACATCCCAATTTGTTCAGTATCCCTATTCAACCTCTTCTATCACTGGTAGGATCATGAAGAGTCACTAAATGTGAGTTCATACCCTATTTCCTTTATTAATGTGGTCTGTCATTTACTCTCCAGCCTCCTAGTCCACCCTACTTGACCCTGAAGTAGATTGGGGGAGCTCAAACTTGATCTAGTGGTGTTTCAAATCTGTCTATGCAACAATTTTGATACAGCTGATAACAAAGTGCTATTTGGAAGGGGTAAACAGTGTCATACCACTGATGTGCCAAAATGTATACCATCTCCCTTTGATGATAAGAAGAGGGACAAAGGCATTCAATCTTTCAGGAGGAAGGTGTCCTGTGCTCTGAAGTACTGAGCGTTTCTGCATGGTGAGTTAGAAGACACTGGAAATTTCAATACTCTTAGAAGAGAATATCTAAAATATTTCAACACTAAGTAATGATATATAACTAAATACTCTTATAAGCCATACACTTTTGTTATTTTTCAGGTTTCTTTTCATTGAAATGTCCCACTGAAAGTCATGCATATGTTTAAGTAATATGTTCATGTCACAAATATCTCTTACTTTAAAAATTAAAAAACATATCTTGTCAGGATATCACACGATTGTCAAACTTGCACTGAGAGTTAGAGACTAACTCCGAACCACAGGCCATCCTTGGTTGTCTGGTGTGTTTGAGGCCAACCTTGGGTACAAGAGACCTTGTTTCAAAAGACTAATAAGGAAAATAATTTTGAAGTTCATTTGTCTAATTTATTTTCATGTATTTAAAAACATCTTCCCTCTAATGATGGGCACATAATAATGAAACCAAGCATATAAGCAAAAAAGTATTATCATTTGATCAGCAACTCAAAATTTTAAGTAGTTTGAAAGTTACATGTGAAACACAACCATCATTTACACGTGTATAATCAATGATAAAGTTATCAATTGTACTTTTACTGAGCAAAAGAAAATTGTCTTGAGCAAACAGTCTGTCAGAAAAAACACTTGTCCACCATTAGAATTCTTCAAAAATTTAGTTAAGGAGAAGCAGTTTTACAGCCACTGCTAACCTTATAGAAGTAGACTCTGGTGATGACAAAGGCTGCTGATTGTTGTAACTTTTTTGTTGCTTTTATTTTCTCTTATTATAGTTTTTATTTTTTAAAACAATTATTAATTATGTATTATTTTGGAGCCTGTCCTGGAACTCAGTTTGTAGCCCAGCCTTGCCTTGAACACAGAAATCTGCCTGCCTCTGCCTCCTGAGTGCTGGGATTAAAGTCAAGCACCACCACACATGGCAATTTAAATATAGTTTGATCAGATTCTTTCCCTCACACAATTCTTTCCAAATCATCTCTCCATCCTTACATACCCAACTTCAAATTCATTGTTAAAAAAAAATTCCCCAAATGAAAACAATAGCAAAAGGGAAAAACACCATGAGACTGGACTAGGCCCTCTGCATAGGCAAAACAGTTGATTAGTTTGTTCTGCTTAATGGGCCCCCCGACAGTGGGAACAGGAACCATACCTGGTGTATAGCAGGCTTTTGAGAGTCCACACATCTAGCGTGGGACAACTTACACAACCTTGGTGCAGGAGTAGTGTTGTTGGAGAATATCTCTCCAGCTCCTGTCACCAAGACCTGCCAGTCCCAGATCCCACTTATAAAATAAACACACAGAGTCTTACATTATTTAAACTGCTTGGCCATTAGCTCAAGCCTAACATTGTCTAGCTTTTACACTTATATCTACCCCTTTCTATTAATCTTTACTTTGCCACTTGGCTCATGGCTTACTGGTACTTTACATCTTCCTTGTCCTGGCTGTGGCTCCAGACAGTCTCTCCTCTGCCTTCCTGTTTCCTCTTTTCTCCTCTCTGTTAGTCCCACCTATCCTTCCTGCTTGGCCACTGGCCAATCAGTGTTTATTTATACAGAATGTTATCCCCAGCAGAGTAGGGGCTTGGACCTGGCTCAACTGAGTGTATTAGGCTCTGCTGACTCCCCATCATTGGTCTTGTGTTGGAGGAGATGGGAATTGAGGTATGGGTTGAGGGGGAAGGATATGGTGGTCAGAGGAAGGTGGGGAAGGGGATCTGTGGTCAGTATGTAAAATGAATAGAAAATTTTTAATACTAATTAAAAAAGGAACAAAAGAAAAACACCAAAGTGTAACTAACTGTGAGCACCCCCCCCACACACACACACCAAAAAACAAAACAAAACAAAACAAAAACCTATGGAGTCTCTTATATGTTGGTTAATTACTTCTCAACATGAAGCCTGGCCTGGAGTGGTTAATATATACAGTGTCACTGCAATGCATAAACCTGATTTTCCCTATCACAGCAGGTATAAATGACAATTTAGGTGTTAACCTTTACCCGGGTGCCTAGATTTTCATTCATTCATTCACTCACTCATTCATTCACTCACTCATTCATTCATTCATTTTTAGAAATTATAACAAAATAAAGTACAATATGATGAGACAATACTATCATCTTTGAGTTGGACAAGACAAATCAACAGAACAAAAGTATCACAATAAATGGCACAAAAAATCACAGATCTCAATGTTTGATCACATGGGAAGCCAAAAAAATCATGAAACTAAAAACTCTAATTTATAAGTAAAGAACTGGTGCAGACATAGAGGACAATGCTGCATGCTTCAGAATGTCGCTTCATAAGTGTTTTTCTCATGCTGATGTGGAGGGCCTTGTTTCTTTATGTCCTCCCTCCTCTCTGGCTTTTAGACTCTTAGAGCCCAGGTTAGTTGATTTTGTGGATTTTCTTTTGGTGACTTTGATATCACTGGCTCCTACACTCCATCCTTGCCCTGTTCTGAAGTGTATTTGTGAGCTCCGCCTAATGTTTGGCTGTAGTCTCTGCATATTTTTCCATCAGTTGCTTTGTGGTGAGGCCTATGTGATGACAGTATTACTAGATATCAGTCTATGAGAAAAGCAGTATATCATTTCATTGACTTCTTTTGCCATTCATATTTTTGCTATCCTAATTCTCTGGGTGCTGGCCCTCAGATGGGAGCCCCTCTCTGGATATGGGTCTGTGCTCTGCCGGTCATTACTTGTTCATTTCCCCCAAATGCTGCCACAACTTTATCCAAGCAAATTTTCTCAGCAGGACAGATTGTAGGTTGAAGGCTTTGTATCTGGGCTGGTGTCCCAGGCCTCCCAAAGGAAATCTTGCCTGGTTAGAGGAGATGGCTAGTTCAGCTGCCATATTCTATGTTACTAGGTCACCCTCATCCATTCCTGAGGGTGTTTCCATTGCTCTAGGTTTCCATCTCATCCCAGTGATGCCCCCATATTCCATTGTCTCTCCTAATTCTCTCTCAACCCATCCTCCACCCACATGACCCCTCCTGTTCCCATATCCATTCTCCCTTCAAAGACTCTCCCCCATCCACTAGCAATGTCCAATTTACTTCCTTACAGTGACATTCATGCATAACCCCCCTTGGGCATACCTAATTATTTAGTTTCTCTTGATCTGTCAGTTGTAGCTTGGTTCTCCTTTACTTCTGATGTAATAGTCCCTTATGATTGAGTACATACCATTCTTGTATTTCTGTGTCAAAATTGCCTTAATCATGACTATCTTTTCTACATCCATCAGTTTGCCTTCAAATTTAATGATGTCATTGTTTTTAACAGCTGAGTAATACTCCATTATATAAATAAACCAGATTTTCTGTATCCACTTTTCTATTGAGTTTATTTACAGTTTCTGGCTATTACAAATAAAGATTCTATAAACATAGTTGAACAAATGTCCTGTGGTATGGATTGTTCTTTAGGCATACGGCCAGAGTGTTATGGTATAACTGAGTCTTGTGGTATTTCGATTCCCAATTTTCTTGGAAACTGCCATATTTATTTCCAAAGTGGCTATATAAGTTTGCACTCCCACCAGCAGTGGAGGAGTGTTCCTCTTGTTCCACGTGCTCTTCACCATAAATCTGTCAATGGTAATTTTGATCTTAGCCACTCTGACAGGGGTAAGATAAAATTTCATTGTTTTTTTTTTATTGCATTTCCCTGATGGCTAAGGATTTGAATATTTCTTTGACTATTTCTCAGCCGTTTGATACACCCCTGTTAGGAAATCTCTGTGCAGATCTGTACTTCATTTTTAAATTGGATTGTTTATTTTATTGATATCTAGTTTTTTGTGTTCTTTATATGTTTTAGGTATTGCACCTATGTCCAATGTGGAAGTGGTTAAAATCTTTGCCCATTGTGTGAATGGCCTTTTGTCCTATTAACAGTTTCCTTTGCCTTACACAAGTGTCTCAGTTTTATAACATCCCATTTGTTAATTGTCAGTGTTATTGCCTGCTCAATTAGTATTCTGCTCAGAAAGTTGTCTCTTGTTTCAATGTGTTCAAGGCTATATCCCACCTTCTCTTTTATGAGCTTAAGTGTGTCTGGATTTATGTTGTTGTCTTTGATCTTCTTGGACTTGATTTTTGTACAATGATAGATTTCCATTTATTTGCATTCTTATACATGCAAACATCCAGTTTTACCAGTGCCATTTGTTAAAAATGTTGTTTTTCCTATTGTGTAATTTCGGATTCTCTGTCAAAAATCAAATGTCCACAGGTGTGTGTATTTACTTCTGTGTCCTTGATCTTATCAAAAGAACAATCTCTCCGTTTATAATGACAAAAGGATATGAGTTTTCTTACTAGTACTTTGTGGTATAGCTTTAAATCAGGGATAGTGTTGTTATTTTCTCGTCCAAGATTGCTTTAGCTACCCTGCTTTTCTTTTTATTTTTTCATACAAAGTTGAGTATTGTTTTTTTTTTTAAAGATTTTTTTTAATTTATTTATTTATCATATATACAGAAGAGGGCACCAGATCTCATTACAGACGGTTGTGAGCCACCATGTGATTGCTGGGAATTGAACTCAGGACCTCTGGAAGGGCAGTCAGTGCTCTTAAACGCTGAACTATCTCTCCAGCCCCGTATTGTTATTTTCTGATCTGTAAAAAATTGTGTTAGAATTTTGATCTGTAGATTTCTTTTTATAAGTTGACCAGTTTTACTATGTTAAACCTGATGATCAATGAATATGGAAGACATTTCCATGCTTTGAAATCTTCTCCAATTTCTTCCTTCAGAGTCTTTAGGTTTCTGTTGTACTGGTTTTTCACTTGCTTTCTTACAGTTACACCAAGATATTTTATCTTACTTGTCGCTATTGTGAAGGATGTTGTTTTCCTGATTTCTTTCTCACCCCATTTATCATTTGAATATAGGAGGGCTACTGGGTTTTTTTTTCAGTTGTTTATGAACCCAGCTACTTCACTCAAGATGTTTATCAATTATCAATC